TTGGGTTCTCGCTGATGTATGTTGTTTATGTGATTATCGTCTACATCTCGCTGTAAAGAATTAAGCACGAAATAAAGAACACGGGAGAATTAACGTGGTATCCGTGATGAACAGGACTAATCCAAGGATACATGGTCGGCCTTTATATAGGGAATAACCCTAGCCCTAATTACAATAAACAATCGTGGCTAATTACAGGTTGATACTCAAATAAATATACTTTAACACCCTCCCTCAAATTGATGTGCGGTGCGTAACATCAATTTGGATGATAAGTACCAATGTCGATGGGAAGATACAGCTTTTGTCAAGAGATCTGAAGTTTGATCTTCCGTCGAGAGATAGCCAACCTATATCAAACCTTCAGCCACTAACTGTCTAATGTAATGGACATGAACTTCAATGTGCTTAGTCATGTCATGTAATACCGGATTAATCGCAATCTGGATTGCACTAGTGTTATCCCCATAGAGACGCATTGGGACTCGAAAATCAAAGCCCAGTTCTCCAAGAAGCCGATGTATCCAGACCAACTTAGAGCTGAATTCTGACATAGAACGATACTCCGCTTTTGTGGACGACTTGGAAACCTTATCCTGCTTCCGACACCGCCATGACACAAAAGAACCACCAACCCGAATGCACCATCCAGACGTTGACCGTCTCGTATCCACACACCCTACATAGTCCGCATCAGCAAAGGCCTCCACGACCGGTTCTCCCTCAACAGGAAAGAACATGCCAACATCATGTGTCTACTTCAAATATCTCAACAATCGGTGAAAAGCTGCCAAATGGATATGCGTAGCCACTCCCATAAATTGACTCACCACCTGAACTGCATAGGAAATGTCTGGACGAGTGTGCATTAAATATATGAGACTGCCAACCAAGCTCCTATATATGGACTGATCATCTAATACTTCCCCCTGATCCCGGCTCAACTTAAGATTTTGCTCCATGGGAGTTGAGCAAGGGACACAATCCGTGAATCGGGAAGCATCCAAGAGGTCAGTAATATATTTCCGCTGTGAGACGAACAAGCCAAGTGGCGACATGCTGACTTCAAGACCCAAGAAGTACGAAACTTCCCCATCTCTTTTAAGTTGAAGGCGTCTCGGAGAATAGCTGTAACCTCTCGTATCCAATCCTGATCACTACTAGTGATGATCATACCATCAACATATACCAAGAGAATCACAACGCCATCAACAGTATTACGAGTAAAGAGAGAGGGATCATTAGAACTCTGCGAAAAACCAGCCTGAACAAGAGTACCATGAAATTTCTCGAACCATGCCCGAGGTGCTTGCTTAAGACCATACAGAGAGCGAACGAGTTGGCAGACCATGGACGAATCACCTTTGTCATACCCCGGTGGTCGTTCCATATATATCGTTTCCTTCAAATCTCCATGCAAAAAGGCGTTCTTGACGTCAAGCTGAAAGAGAGGCCAATTTTGCATAGCATCAACAGCAAACACACATCGAACAGTCTGCATCTTCACCACCGGGGCGAAGGTCTCATCATAATCAATTCCATACTCCTGTTTAAAACCCTGGGCCACTAGCCGAGCCTTGAACTTCTCGATCGAATTGTCCGGGTTCATTTTAACCGTATAAACCCATCGACACCCAATGACGGACATATCAGCAGTACGAGGAACAAGCTCCCATGTATGGTTTGCCTCCAACGCATCCATCTCCACCTTCATGGCCGCATTCCAACGGGGATCACATACGGCCTGTGAGTAAGAACGAGGAGTAAAGACTGGCAGAGTCGAGTACCCAATAAAATCACTCATACGAGCTGGAGGTTTACCCAACGTAGCACGAGTAGAGCGCCATAATGGGATAATCGGAGAGGGTGGTGAACCAGGACCCTCGTCCCCACTAGAAGAAGAACCAGATGAATTGGTTGAGCTAGAAGAGCTAGACGACGTGTTCTGCGGGCTGGACGAAGAAGACGAGGAACTCGACTGGCCGACTGCAGGTGAGGAGGGTGCACTATTATCACTGGAGTGGGAGGAGCTGGCGGATGCACTAGGTTGCAATGGAAGAGAGGCAGGAGGTTCAAAGGTAGGTAAGTTGACCAAAAAATCCAAAGTTTCAGCTGTGCTAGTCTCGGTAGGTGAGGAGTGATAATACATTTGGTGCTCAAAAAACTTCACATGATAGGCAATCCGCATACGTTGATCACTAGGGTCATAGCACATATATCCCTTATGCTTGTCACTATAGCCCATAAACACAAAACGAGCTACCTTAGGAGCCAGTTTATGACGTTCCTTTCGCTGCAACAGAACAAAGCAAGTGCACCCAAAAACACGAAGAATAGAATAATCGGGAAGTTTCGAGTACAAACTCTAGTAGGGAGACTTCTGGCCCAACAACGGAGTAATCTGACGATTAATCAGATAAACAATGGTATGAACATCTTCAACCCAGAATCGTGTTGGTACCCGAGAGAAGAATAAAATAGCTCGCGTTAGCTCCAGCATATGCCGATTTTTACGTTCCACGACACCATTCTGCTGAGATACCCCCGGACATGACTGTTGTGGTAAAATACCCTCTGCCTTGAATAGACCGAGAAGCTCATTGGATGTGAACTCCCTTCCCGGATCAGAACGCAACACCTTAATTGTCTTTCTAAACTGAGTCTTAATCATTTGCACAAATTCTTTGGCCACAGCAGTCAATTCCGATTTCTGTTTTAAGGAAATAAACCAAGGTGAACCGAGTAGTATGATCAATGAACAACGCAAAATATCGATAACCCAGCCTTGATATAACAGGAGAGGGCCCCCACAGATCTGTATGTATCAAGTCAAAAGGCTCATCATAAACTGTGTCACTAGTCGAGAATGAAGACTGTGAGGCCTTGGCCTCCAAACAACTCACACAATCCGAAATCTGATCAACTTTCAACAAATCAATTTTGTCTGGTAACACATTATGGCGAAACATAGTCTTTAAGCGCCCAGAATGGGGATGTCCTAACCGATTATGCCATAAATCCCACAAAGAATTTGCAACAGAAATATCCGAACTGAAGACATGATAAGAATCTCCACTATCACCAACACCCTGACTCCTATGGAATATGTTGTTCTTGTCCCTCCCTGGCTCGTGTGCTCCTCGACCCGCCCTTGGAAGTGCGCACGTCGCCATGCATGCTGGCCGAGCTCCACGTCCACCATGGAAGGCATCAAGAACAGACGTACGTCCCACCTTACTTCCCTTCCCGAGCACCCTCCCCATCCTCCGATCCTGCACAACACACCCGTCGGAATCAAATAAGACATTACAGCCATCTTCGGTCAGCTGTCCCACGGAAACCAAGCTAGGGAGTAACTGAGGAACGTATAAAGTGTTGGGAAGAGACACAGATCCTGTACAGACACTACCAGTTCCATGAACCGGGATCGTAGCACCATTGGCAACTTGGAGTGTCATAGAAGATTGAGGACGTAAATGTTCAAATGCAGCTTGATGACTGGTCATATGGTTAAATGCAGCTGAATCAACCATCCAACGAAAAGACTTAGCCGGAGGGAGACCCATGGCAAACGCTGAGGAGAGGGCTTCACGGAGAGCCTCTTGAACCATAAGCCGAACCTAATCAGGTGTCATGGAAGGAGTGGACGACGACGCAGCTGTCGAAGAAGACTCCAATGTTACCGGATAAGCAGACCCGCGAGGAGAAGAACCCACAGCAGAAATTGGACGCAATTTCCCTCGTTTACTCAAGGTTGGGCATTCAGAAACTATGTGACCGGGACGTTTGCAATAAATACAGAAGATTTTCTTCTTACAATATGTTTGAACATGGCCCGGTTCACGACAAAAGAAGCACGTTACACCGCCAGGGGATGACGATGTGCTCGACGGATGAGAGACAGCAGGTGGACGTCCCACGACAAAGGCAGGGTCAGAGTGAGAGCTGACGCTATCAATATGGGACTGGCTTCGGAGACGGGTTTCTTCCCGCATCAGCTCGGCCACGACAGTTTCGATATTTGTGGTGTTGCGGTGAATCAACGAAGCCCTGATCGGTTCGAACTCGGGAAGAAGCTTGGCGAGAAATTGGAGGGCTCGAGTGCGAGCCCGCTCGGCCTGAACAACAGCAGCGGCGTCGGGAACCAAGGACACAGTGAGGATATCATATTTTGTCCATAAATTCAAGCACTCATGATAATAGCTACGGATATCACGATCCCCCTGGGCAATGCGAGAAATCTCACCCTCTAACTCAAATTGGCGAGAGGCATTATTTTGAGCCTAGGTTGTAGTAATATAAGCCCACATCTCATGTGCCCTACGAAATCGACGAAGACTCAAGGTGGTAGGAACGTCGACTGAACCACAAAGCCATGTAATTAATTGGGCGTTGGCGGCACGCCAATCTTCCGCCTCCTTACTCACGTCATCCTCCGCTGGGGGCCTTCACCGTACCAGTCAAAACAGGGAGAAAACAGGGAGGAGACGTTTGCCTGCAACAAAGTTATGGAACTAAAATTCCCAGATCGAAAAATTTCGGCCATCGAACTTAACCGCGACCGACTCCATCTTCGACAAATCCATAGCAAACGAGCCGCCCAAAGCAAAGATCACAAGATCAAATCAACCAAACAACCAAAAAACCACGGCTCGAACAAGCTCTGTTGGCGGAACCCTACGCAGCAGCAGCACAAATCCCACGAACCAAAAAAAAAACCAACGGGAACCCAGAAACGCTGCGGCAGCCAAAACACCAAGGAGAACACACGTACCAACGGGAGAATTAATAGGTTTCACTATCTCGTTAACGTGGTATCCTTGATGAACAGGACTAATCTATGGAAGAGGCTGTGCTCTTTAATAGGTTTCACTATCTCGTTAACGTACAAGGATACATGGCCGGCCTTTATATAGGGAATAACCCTAGCCCTAATTACAATAAACAATCGTGGCTAATTACAGGTTGATACTCAAATAAATATACTTTAACACCCGCATCTGTACTGGAGCAACGGGATTAAAGATCCCGGTGGAGTGATTCTCTGCGGCGGGTGTGGGAGTGATACACCTAGCTCCAGCTGCGAGAGCGGGTTGAGTACACCTATATTGATGAAGGAAAGGGATGATGATGTTGTGGAGGGAGGAGAGCCGCAAGAAGAACAACAACAAGAAACCAAAGGTCGGACCGAGTTGAGAAGGTTCGGGTTCACCCCAAGGGAATCGACCCCTTGCCGGTTGATGATCAGCATAGTCGAGATGCCGCTCTACTTGCCTCGTAGGTTGACAATCCCGGTTGTTTGCGAACAAAGATGGTCGAGACCAATCACGATTGCTTCGTTAATCCTATCCCCGATCCTGCTATCCACGCTCTGGGTAGCTCAATACGAGAATCCCCAGTTCGAAACATGTGTTTCGGTTTATGGAATAGGGTCGTTGATTGGGATCACATTAGGGGTACTAGCCTTTCTCACCACTGAAGAATCCACCCCTCCAGAGAAATGCCTGCTGCTCTGGTTAGCGGGAGGGTTCTTAATGAGCGTGACGTGGAGTTACATCACGGCTCAGGAGTTGGTCGCATTGTTGGTCTCTCTAGGCTACATATTCGGCATCAGCCCTTCGATCTTGGGGCTTACCGTCCTAGCGTGGGGGAACTCGCTCTCCGATCTGATAACCAATTCGACCATGGCGATCAACGGTGGTCCGGAAGGCGTGCAAGTGGCGATAGCAGGGGTTATGCAGGACCGATCTTCGATGTCCTGTTTGGGGAGGAGTTACGGTGCTAATTGTACAAGAGTTAGCACCGTCCTAACCAAGGGTTAGTAGTGATTTAGCTTAGATGTTGTATTGATTTTATAATAATCCGTAGTGATTTCGTTGTTTTTAATAGCGTTTTTTGCTAGTTATCACGGTGCTAACCTATAAGGAGTTGGCACCTAATCCCATCCCCTGTTTGGGCTTGGTTTGTCGCTGATTGGTTCGTGTTGGGAGTGGTATCCTGAGCCGGTTTTGATATCTTTGGACCCGTATCTTCTTGAGACGTTGGGGTTTCTGTTGGCCGGTTTAATTTGGTTTGAGGGTTGGTGGTTCTGCCCAGGAGAGGGATGAAGTTTGATGGGGTTCTTGGTGGAGGTTTGTTGGTTATATATCTGTTGTCTGTGTCTTTAAGGCTGGTTCGGACTTCTGGGTCGCTCCAATTGTTATGACCACAATAGCTTGTAGTTGTAATGTGTGTATGTAACAGCATAGATCAGTGAATTTTTATTTTTACTGTTGTAGGAAGTCATTGATGGGGGACAAATGGAGGCAACTTGCTGCGGTTGCATAGACTATAAATGACAAATGTAAATGGTGCTATGGTTAAATTGTAAAGAATTGAGTAGCTAATGGTAATATAGAAATCACATAATCATAGTGATCTTGAGATACAAATGCCCTATATTAACTCATTGTTCATAAGCTACCAATTGAGTATGACGAGTTTGCATAAGGATGATATGTTCCAGTTTTAATCGTTTAATTCTCGATCGAATGAGCGAACATGTGTAAGGACAATATGTACAAATGCGACCACCTATCGATTGAGTATAATAGTTAAAGTCATGCGCATGTGGAATATGATACCTCTGCAAGCTGAGCAATCGAGTTGCAGTTTTGCTTCACTTTGCGTACAAAAGAAAAATGGCCATTGTTTTAGCAGTGGAGCATAGCTAGGGAAATAAGAACTCAGTGGTCAGTTGTTGGAGTGGTGAGACGGTGGGAATTCCAGTTTAGTGATTGATTGAACGAGGGGACAAATTGAGGGCGATGGACTTTCCTAGATTCATCATACATTGCCGTCCCTAATGAAGTTGGGAGGTTTTAACGTTTGTGCAAATTTAAACTTAAGCATATTTTGGTCCGAGTAAATTTGTGTGTGGAAAAGGGTATTATATAATGCATTACTTTTATATAGCTGGTAGAGTATCTTTTATGTCGCCACTTGCTCCAGGAAGATTTATGCTGGCAGATTGGCAACGCCCGGTCAGTATACATTCAGAATTCGAGCTGGATTCCAAGGTTGCATCTACGCGACCCCTCCTGTTACCCTCAAATGGTTCGAGAGGAGAGTGATAATTGTTGCAGAGTTAATGTGGTCAGGGGAAGGAAGATGGAATGAAGAGGTACTCAATCACTTATTTTCGCCAGAGGTAGCGTGAGCTATCCAAGCAATTCCTATGTCGTTCCAAGATGTACAGGATTCTCAAATCTGGTATGATACCAGTGATGGAGTGTTCACTGTGAAATCTCCTTATCACCTAGCGGTCCTACTTGATCCTGGGCAGGAAGATGGCGTTGAACTATTAGTTGGATGGATCGTTCATGCTGCATTAGGATATGGGAGGTCCTTATCCCTCCTAAGCTTAAAACTTTTCTCCGACAAATTTCCAGGTGCATCATTCCTATCACGGAAGCTCTGATCGAGAAGAAAGTCTCAAGTGTTACCCCGATGCTCGGTTTGCTGCTGGCTCGGAGACTATGGAGCATCTCTTTTTTTATTGTCTAGTAGCAAGGACTATTTGGGATCACGCTGGTCTAGAATCTCTAGTCCAATGGCTCCCTCACCAGAGGTCGAGGAAGGAAAAAGGCCAACCAGTGAAGAATTTTGTAGAGGTCATGTAGGCCTGAATCTTAGATTGACCCCTTCGGAATCTTCTTGATTTCTTCTTCAAAGTGGAAATCATGTGACCACATGTCACCTTCACTTTGAAGGGTCGGACTCCGAGAGGCAAGATTCAACTTCTCAGCAAAGTAATCAGAATTGAAGCAGGTCTGACGTCCTTGGAAAGATGTAGGTAAGATTTGAGAATTCTGGACCGTCATCAACAATGTTATTAGTGCCGATGCAAGCTCTTATTAGTGCCGTGTTTGACGCCTCTTGTATCTTATAGTGACACGAAATGATTTTTTTTTTTTTTTTTCCCAAAGTCAGTGTTGAAGAGATAGTCACAAGAAGAAAGAAAGAAAAGCGCGGGAGTCGACCAATAGTCGAACTCCCGATGAGAGGGCCTTTTGTGCCACATGATGGGCAGCCCTATTTAGTCGACGAAAAACAAAGCAGAAAGAAACCAAGCTGAAGTGAGAAGCTAAGCTCCGAGCATCCTCCAGTAGAGCTCCACCCCGATCTTGGGCCAAGTCGCCTCCCATCATCCCGCCGTATCAATTGTTGTGAATCCCCATGAAATTTGACAGAGACAAAGGGATGTGTCAGGCACCACTGTATGGCCTCCAGTATAACAAATTCATAACACTTTCCGAAAGCAAAGAGAATATTACCTGACGATTGGAAACCCACAAAGCCAATACCACCTTCGTGACTATGCTTGACCGCAACATCACTAAACATTAATAGTGTTCAAGGGGTTCCTTCAACATCAAATGCGTCATTTCCAAGTGCTCCATCAAATCTCATCAAAAGGCCACCTAGTGGACAAGACAACCGCCACCGATCGACTATTGTGCAATTGAATCTTCACCTGCAAAATGAGCAAACAAAGGCCCCTACTAGGACAATCCAGGCTAAAGAGCCAACAAGTCAACATAGTCACAAGGCACCATTTCGCCCTTAAAATAGAGAACCAGGTCATCGGGGAACCCTAGATAACCGGCACCACCCGTTACAAATCTAAACCTCTTTTTTTTTTTTTATTAAAAGGAAACAACCTAAATTTCGGGGACCTAACAATTTGCAAGTATATAATGATAAAAAGAAGGCAATAGATACGAACGAAATATGAAAAATGATGGAAAGAATAATTAAAAACAAATAAAGTAAGAAGGATAATTATTACGAGAAATAAATAATAATAATAATAATAATAAATAAATAAATAATAAGGGAGTACTTATCTGAACCGTCGACCAAGAAGCGTAACCGCCACCTCGTTCGTGATTGTAACCGACAATACCGCATTCCCAAGAGACCGTTCGTCTGCCCTGTCTCTCCTGGCGGTTCGTCGATTGAGTCGGTTACTCATACGAAACGGTTACATCCCATCCGTGCGTCTCTTCCTCTGTCTCTCCCGTCTCCTCACCTTCCGTCAACGACCGTTCAGTTTCCAATTCCCGTCACCATCCCTTCGCCTACCACCATCCTTCCGCCCGGACTTTCCAAGTCCAGCCACCGATCGGCCTTCCGATCCAAATTGGCAAACGCGTCCCAGGCCTCCTTGACGGAACAAGTAACTCCGGCGATGTCCCCCTCCGCATCCGCCCTCATGTGTGCTACTTTTTCCCTCTCTTGCTTCTGGACGGCGTAGTCTCTGAGCAACAGTTTTATGGAGTCTGGGCCTCCTGCTGATCTTTGTCATCGTAATTAGCGGCAGCCGCCGGGGCCATTGCGTTCTGGCAGGGAATCATTTACGAGAGGCAGCTCTCCCCCCGAACCCAAGGACCTCGCTTCCCAAGCGTGTGAGCCAGAGCGGATCCGGCGACACCAGCGCCCACGATGATTACGTTGGTACCGGCCGCCGACGAGAATATTGCTGTTCCCATTCAATTGTAACCACCCCGGCCGTCGGGCTTGACGTTGTAGCCACCGCGACCATCTGGCTTTGCGTTGTAGCCTCTACGGCCATCGGTCTCACCGTTGAAGCCGCTCCGGCCGTCTGGCTTTTCGATTAGTATGATATTTACTTCTAGAGTTCTTTAACTCAAAACATGTACATTACTTACATCAACAAATAAAAACCAAATATATCGTTGGCTATGTAGTTAATGTTTTGAGCCCATGCACCTAGTCCTTACCATATTGCGGCTACAAACTGAATCCTTCACTACTTGGAGAACTGCACAAAGTCAAGGTTCACTATGGTTGCATTTTCATCTTCGAGAGGTGTGTGTCCCTCAATGTAGTCCCACTACCCTTTTTTGACAACATGGTCGCTCCACATTGCGCTAATACAGTCTCTCACGAGCGCAACAAACATGTGGAGATGAATTGTTACTTTGTGCGAGAACATATCAGCTCTAATGATATCAGTTCCCAAAAGATCAGCAATCAATCTCAGTTGCCGATATCCTCACCAAGGCGCTCCGCACGAAAAAATTTCATGTGCTTCTCTCCAAACTTGGCATTCGGGACCTCCATGCTCCAGCTTGAGGGATGTATCGAGATTAGTGTTGTTTTCTTCTTTTAATAATTATGGGAGCTTTTATACTTTTCATCCCTTGTCCTAGGACACTATTGTCGCTAGGCATATATAATAGGAGCTTTAGCCTCTTATACGGCTGGCCAAGGATCCGAAGCACAACACAATGCGTGATTCTTTTATATATGAAAGCTGAGTACACTTTATTGGCCCAAGTGTTGTGCTACTGTTTCATTTTCTGTCTTTTAGTGTAATGGGAGTCCTCATTCTCCCCTCACAACCAGCTCTCTTCCCAATCAGCGAAGCCTTAAATCAAGAGGCTATTATTATTCTTTAATTATCTTATATGTAAAAGCTGGCTACACTTTATTGGCCTAAACTTCCAACTACTGTTTCATTATTTGTCGTATACTGAAAAATAGTCTTTGGGTCTCTCTTCCATCTCCCCTCCCTCTGTCGTCGTCTGCCCACCACCGCCGTCTCGCCTCCGCCAATTCGGTCTCCATCACCGCCGTGTAGTTGCTGCCCAGCCTAGGTCCAATCAACCTCTCTCCTTCCCTACTCAAAGCCCATACCGCCTTGCCGCAAAGTCCGCGAATGCGGGTCGCCCTGCTGTCCTCTCTTTCTTCAGCGCCGAACTCAACTCACCTCCTTCACAGAGGACCATGCTTTTCTGGTCAGCACGCCACCGTGTTTCTCCTCCACACACTACCCCCTGCCAATTGTAGGTTTGTGTCTTTGCCCCTCTCGATTGGTGGACTAGCGACCTAAGGTTTTCTCCCCTCATGTTCCTCTCTATTCTCGCTTTCCTCTTTCTCCATCCCCGGTTTGCTCCTCCCAAAAGTGTCTCCGCCTCCTCCCACCTTCGCTCTCCACCGTTCCCACATTCTGCGAATACTGTTTTGGTTCACCGATTCCTCCGCACCGCGAGTCGAAGCCAAAGTTGGAGTCGTAACAGGCGCTGGTCTCAAGATAGGAGAACGAAGTCGTGACCCGAGACGTGGCCGTTGGCTTGCTGCAGCAGGAGTCTGCACCGCAGTCGTAGCTACATCAATTGCAGAGTCAGGAGTCTGCACCGCAGTCGTAGCTACA